CACTGAAGTCACTTTATATGTTGGCACTAGTCACTTTATGGATTTTATATAGTTCTTATATATATTTTATTATATTTTATTGTATTGATTATTGCTTGAGCTCCGCACCCCTTATACATATACAATTATTTACTGCTTGAAGACTTTTCTGGGACTGTACTCATATGCACCATCATAAAGACTTGTCTGCAATGCTAGCTGGCTAAAAAATAGGGCTAAACACTGCTCACAAGAACTTTCCCTATTGTCCATAGTAAGAGGCACCTCTTTATGGAGTCTTAGATTTCATTGCAGTGTTCACTTATGATTTTAGTTTTGGATCTAGGCAAATGTCTGTTGGGTCTTATGATAATAGTGTGCTGCAATCAAATAAGGAAGTTTAGTGTGAACTAGCATTGCTCTTTACCAATGAAAAAGTTCTATAAGAAGGTCCTAAAACCCAAAAAACAACTTCCTAAATCTAAATATCCAGCTTTCCTGATATACTCTTAGGTCCCTCTATTTGTGTGCACACCATCTCCTGGCTGTTGACTTATGAGGGGTTTATGTATAATCTTCATCAGCAACTGTAAATAGATATTTTTATAACTATACGTTAACCAAGTTACAAAGTTAGAAATATCAGAGCTTGGTTTGATATCGGTGTGCTGTACATAGACATTGGAACAAAGGATCAAATTGTAGTAATTAAGTTAAGAGATGGCTTTGTATTGGAGGAATGTTTGATTTGCGAAACATGTGCGTGCCACAAGAGATGCTCTATTATGTGAGAGGGGGCAACCACTAAATTAACTACCTGATCGCAGACTTTATGGGGCCGACAGAATGATCTAGACCAGGCCATTTAAATCTATTTGTTTGTATGAGGGCCACTTCAAAGTACCCTCTCTTTAGATATGCAATGGTGATGGCTATCTGGGGAATGCAGTTTTACTAGGCTATGACCTTACATATCTAAGGTTCCCTCCAAACTCTCAATAATGGAGGGAATTTTGATAACAGAGCCTGAATCCAGACGCCTCGGTGCCATGACCTGGCATATGTAATTTAATCACCAAAAAGGGAGGCTCTGGGAAGGGGCTGAGTTATGTAAGCGATATGGGATGGGGAAATTGTCCAATCCTGGATGAGATGCGTCAGATATGGGAGGTGAATTAGATAGTTCTACCAATCAGGATGGCCCCATACAAGTCTATGAGAGATAGGTGTATATCAGAGTAGATTTTGGGGAAAGACAGGAGAAGATCCAATCCTGGGGGCCCCCATGCTACACCATTGGTAAATATCATGACATCTCTCTGGCACTTTACATGTATACATGATTGTTGTATGTTTTGTCTGTCTTGCTGTTTGTGGGTTTAGGGTATGAGTAGTATATTCTTTAATTCATTGGTTGAATCGTATACATTTTGTTTCTCTTTTTCTTATTGTAAAATAGATAGATTGTGGTAGTATGTTAGTTTAGTCCTCCCTACTATTCACTAATAAATTTTGGTTGTTGTGTTAAACCTTTCACTCTTGGTCAAAGAAGTCTCATTAAGGTTAATAAAATCATATCAGAGAAATATTATATTTCATAATCTTTAGATTTGGTCACCATGGCATTATCACTAATATGGACTCAGGGCTGACAGAAGAATGGAAAGCACAAAAAAATGTATTTACACTGATAGCAGAAGGGAGAAAGTGAGAATAAATAAACTTTACATGAATAGGCTTTATACTGATTTCACTGTACAAGCTTCACCTTCAAAAAAGTTTAAGACATCTGATTTCTAATTGTCTACAAAGTGACTTTTGCACTTGCGGCACTGTTTTCTGAGGTTTCCGGTGCTAAAACAATAACATTTCCATTCATTGCTTTCTTTTCCAGTCATGGAGGTTACCATCAAACACTAAATAATGTTATTGACAATCAAGGCTTTCAGAAGCTTAACAACAATGCCATCATCTCTGGATTGAGTCATGATTTCCCAAATGACTCTAACAGACATAGAGGAAACTAGGGGGTTGATGTACTAAAACTGGAGAGTGCAAAATCTGGTGCAGCTCTGCATGGAAACCAATCAGCTTCCAGGTTTTTTTTTGTCAAACTTTATTTGAACAAGCTGAAGTTGGAAGCCGATTAGCTACCATGCATACCTGCACCAGATTTTGAACTCTCCAGTTTTAGTAAATCAATCCCTAAGTCTACAAAAGTGAAAAAGTGTATTGATAAAAGTGATCACATCTGCACCTGACCAATCAGAATCACTCTGATCCATCCCAGAAGCCCTAGGGAAATCTGTGAACCACTGCGCCAGCTGCATGGGCACTGACAGCTCATTACCCATGGAGGTAAACAGAGTGGGGATTCGGGGGACGGGGGTGCAGGGTGTTAGTTAAAGTAGCTTACCCACTAAAGGCAGGGTATATGATTGTCATTATCTGATTGTAGCTGGCACTTACAACTAGGGCAGGACTTACAGCATTGTTTTCTTAGGTTTACTGTGTGCTAAAATGTTAACATTGCATAATTTTCTTTTTATTCTTTTCCACACAGTACCAATCACGGAGGATGCCATTAACCATTGAATAATGCTACTGACAATAAAAGCATTCAGGGGATTAACAACAATGTAATGTTTTCTGGATTGAGTCAGAATTCTCTGAATGATTCCAACATATGTAGACAAAACAAAGTCTACAAACCAGATGGAAAACTGTATTTACAACATTAGCTAAGGATCCATCTTCTTGCAGACAGCATCTTGTTCTCCAGCGATCAACCTAGTATCAACATTCTAATCCTGATGTAATTGTTTTCATCATATTCTGCAGCATCTCCTTGGTTTTCTTTTCAGCCTTTAATCCTTTTACTCCCAGAATAGAAGTCTTCCATTATGAGTTCAGACTTTTAGGATCAGTATGTAGACACGCTTACATAGATGTGGACATTGGTCTACAGCATTAGAGGTGTATATATATATATATATATATATATATATATATATGTTTGTTGGGGGTTTCTATCAATTTCAGGACTTTCATCAGATAAAAACAAGCTACCATCTTAGGCCTGGGCAAGGATTAGTAAAAAATGTTCTGCTTTTGACTACTAGAATGGAGCATTTACTGATAGAATATACACTTGTAGTAACTGTCAATTCAATCAACCTTACACCTATTCTGTGCTCTTACCTTATGCGTATATCTTGATAGCTCCCCTTGATGGATTATGACAAAACAGTCCCTATCGTCACTGATAACATTGATAGACCTTAGGCCTATCCTTTTCTCATCCAGGTTTCAAAGGAACTTTATATATTGATAGTTTATACAATATATGTGGCCTGATGGGTTCACCTTATTACAGCCTAACGTTAGTCATCTGTATAGGTAGTCAATTTTCAGTTTGTACAGTGAAGCAGTTTAGGAATCAGATTTCAACACATTTGAATTATGCAAAGAATCCTAACTGTAAAAATCCATCAAGTACCTCTATGTACTATATACAGTGTTAAAATGTACATCAGCAAAAGGGTAAATGGATAACAGTCTACTTAAGTAAGTTGGAGACAAATGCCCCCTTACCCTACTGCCCTCCACATCCCATACATATAATCCACTATTTGGCTCAGATTAGTTGGGGACCTCCTCCATCAATAGCAGCAGCTTATGCTAGGCTCAAGCAGTCCAGTATGCTCAGTACATTGTGCTCTACTGGCTCAGTAAGAGAACTGTAGAAATAAAGATATTGGCTTTGGCTACCAGCCATTGTGGGAGGCTGTCTGCTGACCTGAAGTCTGAATTAAAACTCATTACAGCCCTTTCCTACAAAAACTTACCTTTTACATTGTGTTTTCAGCAAGACAGGCACACAGATTGCAAGTGTATAAAAGGGGAAATAATACAGAATGTTTAAAACTCTATTTTTATTTTACTTATAACAGATATGTAAAACTCACATAAAGAAGAATTTCTAGGGCACCAAATATTCCATTTTCAGCAGGATTTTGTTGAAGACTATTTTTCTCTTTCAACAATAAACAGGGAAGGTGACTTTCTTATGTCTGATTTCTAATGCATAAATACCGATTTGCTGCATATCAAATCATTTTGATTTCTTACATTGTTAAACTGCTAGGGTGTTCATGAAGATGCACTTCTAGTATTAAGAAAAGATCAAATTCAACAACTAAAGACACTCCAGAGAAGAAAAACAATATTTCTTAGTCTGCCACACTACTGGACCCATCAGGATGAAGAATGTAATTCGAGGGGTGCAGATAATGGAACTGAAACAGGATATAAAAAACATTCAAATCATTTGTATATTACATTATGATCTGTTCTATTTGGATGCATCTACATTACTGGAAATTCTGGAAGGAAAATTGTAAATAATACAAAAAAAATTTAAATCTCTTACCTTTATACACCAGCTGTATCATTGCACCACAAAGAATAAGGCCTTATTCATACTGACGTTTACAAACCAGCATCCCATAAATATGCATTTATGGGACATTTCTAAATGCATGTAATGATCATAAATGGTATAAATCACAGTGTGTGTTTACCATTAGTACTCCTATTTTTCCCACACCTTATCCATTATATTTCCTGCTACAGCCTCTGATGGACTTATTAGGTTTATTTAAGCTGAGCTTCAGCCAAATACAAATGAGTGCAGCTCTGTATCCCTGTATAATTTCTTAAATGCATTTTTTAACCACTTCAGTACAGGGCACTTTACCCCCTTCCTGCCCAGGCCATTTTTCAACTTTCAGTGCTCTCACACTTTGAATGACAATTACTCAGTCATGCAACCCTGTACCCAAATTAATTTTTTTTATCATTTTTAAGACAGAGAGAGCTTTATTTTGGTGGTATTTATTCACCACTGGTTTTTTTTTTTTTAGATATACCGTATTTTTCACTCCATAAGACGCACCTGACCATAAGACTTAACTAGGTTTTAGAGGAGGAAAACAATAAAAAAAAAATCTGAACCAACGGACTGCAGACATATTGCAGGAAATGACCAGAGACTACAGACATAGTACAGGAGATGACCAGAGACTGCGGACACAGTACAGGAGATGACCAGGGACTGCGAACACAGTACAGGGGATGACTAGAGACTTTGGACATAGTACAGAGGATGACGAGAGACTTTGGACATAGTACAGAGGATGACCAGAGACTGCGGACATAGTACAGGAGATGACCAGAGACTGCGGACATAGTACAGGAGATGACCAGAGACTGCGGACATAGTACAGGAGATGACCAGAGACTGCGGACATAGTACAGAGGATGACCAGAGACTACGGACATAGTACAGGGGATGACCAGAGACTGCGGACATAGTACAGGAGATGACCAGAGACTGCGGATACAGTACAGGGGATGACCAGAGACTGCGGACACAGTACAGGAGATGACCAGAGACTGCGGACACAGTACAGGAGATGACCAGAGACTGCGGACATACTACAGATGACCAGAGACTGCGGACACAGTACAGGGGATGACCAGAGACTGCAGACCTTTGGGGAGGGCAGTACCCAAATTTGACAGGTACCCGCTCCCATTTTCTCTCCTCCCATCTTCTGGGACACGTGACAGGTCCCAGAAGATTGCCGGACCATTCACAAAGTGCAGAGCTTCTCGCGCATGTGCAGTGGGCTCCTGGCTGTGAAGCTCCAAGCCGTCACAGCCGGGTGCCCACACTAAAGATGCCTGCATCGGGACAGAAGACCGTGAGGACACCGCTGGACCAAGGAACAGGTAAGGTTCTGCTGCAGAGAAGAGCCAAGCGGCCGGCCCGGTATTCTGAAACGGCGGCGGCGGGAATACTGGGCCAGCCACTTCATATTCACTCCACAAGATGCACGGACATTTTCCCTCACTTTTTTTGGGGAAAAAAGTGCATCTTATGGAGTGAAAAATACGTAAGTAAGTAAGTGAAAAACTACCAAACATTTTGAACCCCCCCACACACATTTTTCTATTATATTATAACATTTTGCAAATAAGTAGTTTTTTTCTTCATAAATTTAGGCCAAATTTTATACTGCTACATTTCTTTGGTAACATACCTAAATCAGTGTATATTATTTAGTCTGTGTGAATGTTATAGAGTCTGCAAGCTATGATACGTTGTGGCAGAACCGTTCCGCCTAGGCTTCCTCGTGCAGAGCAGTGCGTCTCAGCCAATAGTCCCCTTGTCCAGCAAGGCTTCCAGTGCTCTGCCAAGGCAGGTATTAGAGCTCAAAATACTCCCTTCCCTGCTCTCCCAAACCACGAGTCGGAACTTCGTGTAGGGTGAAAATGAATGACTCTTTATTAAACACTGCTCAGTATATACAGCTTCACCCCCACCTGACAGCCTGGCAGCGGGTTTTCCCCACCCACAACAAAAAACTCTACAACCAACAATACAATATGGAACTCTATTAGAAGTGAAAGACTACAAGGTCACATTTCCCTAACAAACAGTGTAGAATGTCTGTGAAACATATACAGCTTTACCAAGGGGAGAAAACTGGAACAGAAAGGGCAAAATGTTATCACAAAGGGATGGTTCGTCACATACATATCACTGAAAATTGATCAATTCTGGTGTACTGACTGTCTTTCTAATTTCTTGCTGTCCTAAAATGCCAGGACAATACAAATACCCCCCAAATTACCCCTTTTGGAAAGTAGACGGACCAAGGGTATACCGCTAGGTAGGACCACTGTAATTCGATGCAGCAGATCACATGGTAAAGAGCTAATTTAATTGGCTCTTCACCCTGATCGGTGATGCGCTGTGTCCGGGGAACACAGGTCACCACCGATTGCCCCGATGTGCACCCTCGTGGGCTCACACGAGCGGCGTGACTGGGTGGATATCACATGATGTCCACCAGAAGGCATGAAAGGCCCGTCTGGCCTATGGGACTTTGACAGCCAGGTGGGCAGTGTGGCAATCGGTGGTGAGATGTGTACCCCACTGCAAGCAGCAGAAGTACCTGCATTTGACTTGGTATCAGCATCATCTATTCTCTGTACAACAGTGATCAGCTTGGGTTGGGAAAAGCTGCACAAGCAGAGAATCAGTTGTAATTCAGTGCAAGGGGCATTCTGATAGGAGGAACAAGCAGAGGGGAATGTAAGTGAACTTGTCATTCTGTCTCTTCTTCTTTTATTGTCCTTTCACAAGCTGCAGGAGGGACAAGACCTGCTAGTGTTACTGAACTGCAGCAGAGAATAATAAGATCTTCTGCCTAACAATTTTCTGTGTTGCAGAGCAGTATGAATCTAAGGATTGGATAGGCAGAAATAAAATTTTTTGGTAGGTAAACTTCTCTAATATACTGAGTGTGTTTCATCTCTATGTTCAACCATTCAACTGGAATTCAGTTTTAAAAGACCACTAGACCTAGCTATAATACTTTATGCAACTAACTTCAATAATTTTTACAGCCAACTATAATACCAACTACAATATGTATGAAAAAAGAGACACAGACTGTGTTGCTGCTTGCCTATTGTTCTATTATCTACTATAAGACTAAAGCCGAACATTTTCCATTAGAATTTAATTCCAAATTTTTACTTTTAAGAATGTTTATTCAATTTTTAATGATTAGTGTGGTCAAAACAACATTTATTTTCAACTTCCAGTGACAAGAAAATTCAAAGGAACAGGATGGAAAAAGTTTCTTCAACTAATAGCGTATGTGGTTTTCATTTGGGAAATTCCATTCATTCCAAATTCCATTAATTTTCAAAATGTTAAAAGCAGACAACTTTTTGAAGTACTTTTGATTAACATTCAAGTCAAATAATGTACTGAGAATTTCGTACAAATGTATATCCCAACATTTATTTGAAAACCTATTAGTGTATGACCAGGGTAATGCAGTAGGCAGTATTTGTCTATGGGATTACTGGACAAGGATCTTAGCTGTGTGTCTCTCTCCACAGTATCACACCCATCAATGGAACCAAAATGCCCTCTTCACTATAAAATAACACAGTTTTTACATCACAGTATCATACAGAGTATGCTACAGCCATGTAAATGACACCTTAACATAACTATGACCCTATGTGTAAGCAGGTTGAAATTTAGTTAGGTGGGTGCTGCCCTGGACGGTTAATGTTTTTCCCAGTTCTTTGGCTTTTAGCCAGATCTTTGAGTCTGGCCACTGTACCTGTGGAAACATAAGTGGATAGTGGGGTCGAGTCTGGAGGTTGTAGATCACAGGTCATAGGTCTGTTGCTACTGTTGCCATTGCTAGCCTTGGTTCTTGTCCATGGCCACCTCCCCAGTTCCCTGAAGAGAGCTACACCTGGAAGATGTACAATGTTGACACAGCCTGTTATCAAGATCGAAAGTCATCAAAAAACTTGGAGTTTGCCCCACGAAGACACCAGCTGCTGGAGTATGCCTCTGTTGGATGCTGTGACCACATGGACTCTAACAAACATACATACAAGAAGGTGTATTTTCAAAAACCCCTTATCTTTTATCATAATATCACTGTTTATTACTCTTAAAAAGTATTAAAAAAGAAAATAACCCTTAATTTTTGAACACCTGTTGGTCCACCTAGGCTTATCCAAGAGATCTTGCTTAAAAAGTATCTTACTTAGACCAGCCTTTTTCAACCAGGATGCCCAGGCACCCTTGGGTGCCCTCAGGCTTCTTCCGGGATGCCAAAAAAATACAAGCCAGAAGGTGGATCAATCCTGCCTTTTAAAACACAAAGCCAAAGGTTTTCATTGTGCACTTTTATGACTTTCTAGCTACCTGCATCCTACAACCAATGACATCACCAGTTGATAAGGAGGATGTTAGGTGCACGCACATCATCCTTGTTTACCCCAACCCTGCCCCTTTCTTTCAGCACTGGGGTCACACTGGAATACAAGTCGGTACGCAGTGTGCAAAGGTGTTTTGCTTTGGAAGGACAAATCACCTCTAATGTTGGGTGAGCCGGATGTGTGTAGAACAGTTTTTTACATTTTAGAATGGTGTGCCTTGAGATTGTGTAGAATCTTAAAGGGTGCCTTGAAATTATCCATAATTTTAAAGAGTGCCTTGAATGAACAAAGGTTGAGAAACACTGATTTAGACTTATTGGACCTTCCTACCCACACCACATATCCTACCTACCTCTTCCTTCCCCCCTCCTCCTCCCCCAGAACCATCCTCCACCCACATTCATGTGTTGTGGCATTACAAAATTATCTCAATTGTGAAATTATATTTCCCCCCAAAAAAAAACTTTGCTAGCTAATTACTATCTCCCCTATCAGAGAGAAAATAGGAAATAAATCAGAACCTTTAAATTTCTCCTTTCCTCCTTCCCCATTCTCCCTCACTTTTCTCCCTGTTTCCTCCCCTCAAGCCCTTATGAGAATTCAGCTCCCTGTGAAATAATGTGAACATCATTACATTTTAACTGTGTACATATTTTAAATATGCCCTTAAAAATTAATTCTTCCTTTAATCCCAACCTTCTCCCATCCACCCTCCCCACCCATAAAGAGGAAACGGTTAAGGCAGTTCCTGCCCCCGACAGGGGGAGATAGGTTTACTCTCTTCTATCACCAAATCCTAATATAACATTATTACTCTGTTTGCAAAGCCCAGGTCAACCTTCTCTCCCTTTTCTTGGCCCACCACCTCTTCTTTGTTAATCTAGGAGTTCTTCTGCCTCTCCGTCCAACCCATTTTCAAACCGACATTCCCTGCATAAATATCCCACATATACCGAGAACTCTATCCAAATAAAACCAAACTTTATAGTATTTTGCGTAAGTGTCCCCATGTGAGTGGATCAACTCGCTTCCATAAACCATTCTATCTGAGTTGATATTTTCTTTGATTTCCAATTTCCATTAATGTTTTTGCTGTGGTCAGTTACTGATCCTCTTAATTACATTTAAAATTTTTCTCCAATATGCCAAAATAACTGAACAATGCCACTATAAATGGGCATGAGTTCCTTCACTATCACAGACACTCCAACAATCCAATGGAAACCCTGAATTAAACTGATGTAGTTTTGATGGAACATAATACCACCCAGCCAAATGAGAGTCAAATCTTCTAATGAGTTCATATATCTTTTGGGGACTTAAGTGGTGACATCTCATAGCTTGAGTTTCCAGGCTTGGCATGCCTTCTGTTGTCATTATTGAAGTTCTACCAGATGGAATTTTAAAGTATAAGCACAACCAAAAATTTGTATTGGTTTCTTACAGAGTGGACAAGAGTCATTTAATCACTGTAATCACTGTTGCTGCTCGAGTCCTCACTGGGGAGATTTCCCCACACACTTCTTCACACGATGACACCAGGACAAGAAAAGAGAAGATGGGACAGGAAGACAAAAACCTTAAAAATGTACTAAGCCCTCTCCACTCTAATAAATGAATCTGTCATGCTCTTGTGATACCCTGTCTTCAAAACAGAAAGAGAAGGTAAACATCCCCAACATGGACAAAGATGGTCATAAAAATCTGAAAGAGGTTCTGGCTCTTTACCTATCTGTACACATCTTAGAAAAAGTTTTGCTTTATTTTATATTATAGTAAATACAACAGGAGAACTGTGAGCACGAAATTCCAAAACATTCTGTGGTTCAGTTTTCAAGACATTCTTCATAAAACATATATAAGACATAAAGAAGTCAACTGATGGAATACCTTTCAACAGAATATATGTTTTCTTATTTATCTTCTATTGTGCTCAATATATAACATCTATCTATCTATTATTAA